TTGTTTCAGGGCTTCATGGTGCCCATCAACCCAACATTGGGGCTCCATGGTGCCCATCAACCCAGCATTGGGGCTTCTTGGTGCCCATCACCCAACTTCAAGGCTGCATGGTGCCCATCAACCCAGTGTTGGGGCTCCTCAGTGCCCATGATCCAGTGTTGATGATACACAAGGTCCATCAACTCATGTGAGGGCTTCATGGTGCCCATCAACCCAGCATCAGGTCTCCATGGTGCCCATCAACTCAGCATTGGGGCTTCATGGTGCCCATTAACCCAGCATCAGGGCTGCATGGTGCCCGTCATCCCATGTTGGGGCTGCCCAGTGCCCATGACCCAGTGTTTGGGCTACACAAGGTCCATCAACTCACCCAGCATCAGGGCTCCATGGTGCCCATCACCCAGCGTTGGGCCTGCCCAGAGCTGCTCTGCCAGGGTGGGAGGGACCTGACTGCAGTGAGCAGATGGATGCTGTCCCCCCTGACATCCATCTCCTGACCATCCATGGTGGGAGGACAGCAACATGACCCTCATATCTCCAGGACATCTTGGAGAACGAGAGCATCACGCTGGACTGGATGTTCCGCTATTCCCTCACCCATGACATCGTCAAGGTAACGAGCTGCGTCCCACCCATGGAGGGTTCCTCCACTCCCATGATGAGGTGGAGACAACCAGGTCCAACTGCTCTTCACCCTTCCAGGGGATGCAGTTCCTACACAACGGGGTGATCATCTCCCATGGGAACCTCAAGTCCTCTAACTGCGTGGTGGACAGTCGCTTCGTGCTGAAGATCACGGACTACGGGCTGGAGAGCTTCCGCGTGGCCCCCGATGGCGAGGACACCCACGCGCTCTTCGCCAGTGAGCACCATCTTCATCCTCAACCCCAGGAGCAACTTCTACCCAGGGTTCTTGCCCATCCTCAACCTTCTCCTTGGTGTCACAGAGAAGCTGTGGACGGCTCCTGAGCTTCTGAGGATGGAGTCACCACCGGCCCGTGGGACGCAGAAGGGTGACGTGTACAGCTTCGGTATCATCCTGCAAGAGATCGCCCTGCGCAACGGGGTCTTCTACGTGGAGGGGCTGGACCTGAGTCCCAAAGGTGAGCAGAAGGGTTGGGGGTGATGGTGCTGTGGGTGATTGGACCTGCTGATGGGTGCTTAGACCTGCAGTGATGGGTGCTTAGCCTCAGTGATGGGTGGTTGGACCTCCTATGATGGGTTCTTGGACCTGCTGGTGGGTTCTTGGACCTGCTGATGAGTGGTTGGCCTTGATGATGGGTGATTGGACCTGCTGATGGGTTCTTGGACCTGCTGATGAGTGGTTGGCCTTGATGATGGGTGATTGGACCTGCTGGTGGGTTCTTGGACCTGCTGATGAGTGGTTGGCCTTGATGATGGGTGATTGGACCTGCTAATGGGTGCTTAAACCTGACGTGATGGGTGCTTAGCCCCAGTGATGGGTCGTTGAACCTGCTGTGATGGGTTCTTGGACCTGCTGTTGGGTTCTTGGACCAGCTGATGGGTGCTTAGCCCCAGTGATGGGTTGGTGGACCTCCTGTGATGAGTTCTTGGACCTGCTGATGGGTTCTTGGCCCAGCTCATGGGTGATTGGACCCACTGATGGGTGCTTAGCCCCAGTGATGGGTCATTGGACCTGCTGTGATGGGTTCTTGGACCTGCTGATGGGTTCTTGGACCAGC